TCATAAGTACATGCCAGTTGCCAAGCCTCTGGATTTGGATCCCCTCATCATGGGGATGCTGCTGCCATGGTCATAAGTGCGGGAAGCGGTTATAAGTCACTTTTTTTCAGTTCCGTCACTAAATGAACTGCATGTCGAGGGATACCTGTAGGCCCCTGAGTCAGTGAGCTTCCCTTGAGTAAGACTGCGGGCATTCTCATGGATGGGGGGGCACCTTCCGCTTCTGCCCACAGGCCAAGGAGCCTGCAGACACCCCCACGGGTCCAGAGCCGCCCCTGCTCTCCTGCGCTCAGCCCTTGGGAGCCGTTGCAGGTGTGCTGAGGTCCAGTGAGAGGGACCTGGAGGAAGCCTTGCAGCAGGTGAAGCTGGAGAGGGATGCTGCTGTCCAGAACCTTACGGCCCAGGTAAGAAGCTCCCGCTTTGCTTTGAACCTCCCTCCGTGCTCGTTCTGCCAAAAATGAATCTTTTGTTGTCTCATGTAAATGCCATTCGTTTGGAGCAGGGCTCTCCAAATCTGACAACTTTTAAGATTTCTGGGAGTTGAAGTCCAAAATCTTAAAAGTTGCCAAGCTTAGAGAGCCCTGCTTTAGACCAGACCTGGGTATTCCACATCCCCCAGGCTACATCAACCCCTTGGCTGTCCCCGTCCAGCCTCTGGCGGGGGCCTCAGCCTCAGGGTCCCTGTGGATTGGCCCTCCACAACGGCCAACTCACTGCAGGACAAGACTTACACTCGTATCAAAGAAATGGAGGCACGGAATTTATTACAGAAAGGATGCGAAATGAGTGACAACAAAATGTGAACGGCAAAAACTAAAAGAGTTTTTATTTATTTTAAATAATTAAATGGAATGGTTCAATTGTCCCACAACGAGTTGTCTTGCGGTGAGTTGGCCGTGGCGAGTTGTCCCCCTCCCCTCCCCCACAGCCTCAGTTTCCCAAGTGGGGCCCTTGGGACAATGTCCCCTGCTGCTCCGTCCCAGTTCTCTGCAAGCCATTCGGCCTTTGCCTGTAAGGTGTTAATTGCTCTAAATTCTGAGCTCTTCTAGAAGCCTAAAGAGTCCAAGGAACGCCCTTCCACTTGCTCCTTTTGCAAATCCACCCACTTCCATTTGGCTGCCATTTGGTCCCCTCCTTTGCGTCCTGGAGGTTCTTGTTCCCAGAGTAGATTTTTTTAATATTGTAGCAGTGTGATCAAGTTTCCCCAGTGGAATTTCCCCTGCAAAGGAGTCCTAGGACAAAAGTTAGGGAGGCCAGATGGAAAAACGTTTCTTTCATCCCCTCCCTGAATCCGAAAAGGCCCCTCTTCCTGCTCTGAGGCCTTGGGGGGGATTGTTGCTCTTTCAGGTCCAGGAAAAGGAAAAGGAGGCTCTGGAGTGGAAGCAGCAGCACGACAAGATCTTTGCCGAGAAGAAAGAAATGGAGTAGGTATAAGTGGGGGATCCATTGGCTTCGTGAGGAGGGGGAGTGCGAGGGAGGCTGGGCAGGAAGCTCGGAATACCTGCAGATGCGAACCACCGTCAAAAGTCCCTTGTTTCACTGCCATAGCAATATAGCAATAGCAGTAGACTTATATACCGCTTCATAGGGCTTTCAGCCCTCTCTAAGCGGTTTACAGAGAGTCAGCATATTGCCCCC